TTGCAGCATTTTTCTTTTGGCAGCATTTTTCTTTTTGCAAGTGTTTTCTGAAGTTGCAGTCCATTTGGCCTCTCAGGGCCACCGTAGCTTCAGCCTTCTTCTGTGTGTTGAAAAATAATAAGGCGTCTGCACTGCATTTTCTACTTAGTAACAGTAACGACATTGTAATGACAGAAATAGTAATTAGTTAGATTACTAATTGCTGAAAAAAGTAACACCGTTACTTTTAATGGCATTATTACCATCACTGCTCCCTGGGGCAGTCCTAGCCTGTTTGGTGCTCTGGGCAAACACTCCCTCTGCCACCCCCTGACACACACACACACACACACACACACACACACACACACACACACACACACACACACACACACACACACAAAACATATTAAGGATTATACATTAACATATCTTATTGTGAAAACTGATGATGGAAACGTACTGGAATTAACAAGATAAATATTTTATATAGTGAGAGAGAGAGAGACTATGCAAATGGCTAACAAGCAGTCATTATAATTCGTCATGCATTGAGAATAGCAGACAAATCAACATTACAGCTCTTCCAATTAATGGCTAATTAATATTGTGCTGAAAACAGTCCAAAAGAGTCAATAAACCACATCAGTGTCTACTGTCTGCCTACTGCTTACTATCATAGCCAAGTGGCTAAGAAAGGTAAACAGAAGTTGTCCCAATCCCTACTAATGAATGCTATCTTGTTTCAGGATACATGTCATACATAATACCTGCTATTATCCAAAGACACATCTGCTTGCCTGTATCTTTTGCTCGTTTCTCTCTTCTTTTCTCTTTTTTTTCTAAGCTGAGGACCTGATGGCTTTGAACTTTTCTTGTCCATCTTCCATCAGTAATTTTGCACTCCAGTATCAACACCCAACCCTACAACATAAACTAACAGACCTACCTATCTGGAGCACAGAATGGACAAACTTTGGACAAACTACCGAAATGCGTTGACAGAGACATGCCAGCGATTTTGAGTCATTCTGCGCTCCAGATGGATTAATTGCGTTAAAAATTTTAAATCTGTTAATCGTGATGAGGGCGTTAACGTTGACAGCCCTAATTTGTTTGGTTTTCAATTTAGTTTTATTTTGCAAGCTGGTTTTAGGTGCCGCATTAGCCAGCCAGAGAGTACCCTGCCATTCCACCCCTCTCCTCCCTGTGCAGCAAGGAGCAGGCACCTCATAAATGGAGGGCGCCCTTACTCCTCGCAAATAGACATGTGCCTATGCAATCTCCAAAATGTGCTGGCATGATGTCAAGGCAGGATGGGTGCAAGCAACTTTTTTTTGCAGATGCCATGATGCCGTCCCAACCACGATACCGCCCTGGTCAACAGCCCAAGTCGCCCAAATCAAAACTTGCCACTGACTGCTTCCCTGAAAATAGCCTCAAATCAGAAGTACCTCACACCCTATTATAACTCACAAATGCATACCTTACTCAAGAGGAGAAGAACATGGTTTCTCACTAATTAGAAGTTCTTCATTGAGCCTGGAAAAAGAGTTTTTTGCTCTTAAAAGATGCGATTAGAGTATGCTTTAGGTGTCAAATGTACTGCAGTGTAACCGTTTTAAATAAATGCTATCTAATAGACTCTAATTTGTTCATGTAAATGGGGAATCCTCTTCACAAAGATTCGTTATGGAGTTCCGCAGGGTTCTGTGCTCGGACCATTTCTGTTTATATTATACATGGTTCCCTTAGGCAGTAAAACAAGAAGGCATAGTGTACATTTCATTTTCATTTCTATGCAGATGATATCCAGCTTTATCTATCAGTGAAGCCAGATAATACACACTAATTACTTCGGCTGCAGAAAAAAAAACTCCTAAAGCCATAGTTGTTTTTAACCAAGATATGTCCTTAAATGTGCATAATCAACAAATATGCAGGACTGTTTGCTTGCATCTTCGCAATATCTCTGAAATTACAAACATCCTGTTTCAGAATGATGTTGAAAAACTAGTTCATGCATTTCTAACTTCTAAAAAAACTCACTAAAAGCCTTCAGTTGATCCAAAATGGTGCAGTGAGAGTACTGACTAAAAGCCAGTAAGTATTTCTCCCATACTGGCTTTTCTTTATTGGCTTCCTGTTACATCCCAAATCAAATTCAATCTTCATATACAAGGTGTTAAATACTCAGATCCCACCTTCTCTTAAAGACCACCAAAACAAAGTAATGTAGCACCTGAACAGAGCACTTCGCTCTCTTACTTGTGGTTCCCAGGTTATTTAAAAGAAGAGTGGGAGGCAAACCCTTCAGTTTTCAGGGCCCTCTTCTGTGGGTTTGATTTCAGGAGCCAGACAGACATTGTCATGATTTCTTAGATTTTCATTTAAAGCACTGCAGTTATGCCATATTCCTATGAATTATATGCCGTCACTATTTCATGCTGAGTTTACGATAGAAAATTGGAACATGCAAATGTGATAAAGTGTGTGTATTTATTTCAGGGTTTCTATGACGAAGTGGCCAGCCCTCTACTTTTAGAGGTGGACATGCACTATCCTGACAATGCAATGGATTCTCTGACCACCAGCCACTTTAGCTACTTGTTTAATGGAACAGAGATTGTTGTGGCTGGTCATTTAATGGACAACGACCTTGACAACTTCCTGGTGGAAGTGGTTGGACAGGGGGTGAGGAAAAAAAGAAAAACACAAAAAATGGCAGAAACATTGAGACATTGAGTAGACATAGCCTATATTTATTTGTTTTACTCTGGTTTATATGGATTTTATCTTTTGTTTCTCCTGAAGCTCGAAGAAGACTTCAGAGTCCAGGGTCAAGTGAGTGCCGCAGACTGGGATGTTTTTTACCCAGACGAGGAGTACATCTTTGGAGATTTTACCGAGCGGTTGTGGGCCTACCTCACTATCCAGCAGTTACTGGACAAGAGGTCAGTTTAAATCAGTTCAGTTTGGCTGCTAAGGCACATTGTTCTCATAAGAAATATGGTATGATATATAGTCTTTGATGACACTTGTTCTTTTACCAGGACGCTCATTTTAATCATTTGATGTTCTTTTATAGATTTCCCTGTAGTAATACATATATTTTCCTTCTGGCAGCAAGAGCGGTACACCAGATGAGAAAGCCAACACAACAGCCAAGGCCCTGGATATGTCCCTGCAGTACAGCTTTGTCACCCCTCTCACATCCATGGTTGTTACCAAGCCCGAAACCGAAGACTCGACAAGCAGCCCTCTTATTGCTGACAAGCTGACTGAAGGTACCTGGAGAAAACAGAGTTTAAAAATGTAAAACACTGGACTGGCTTTTCTTAAAGAGACAAAAACTATATTGACTGATGAATCGGAGGGGTGTGTGTGCGTGTGGTTGTGTGTGTTTGTCAAGTGTCACTTTGAAATGGCTGCAGTCAAGCTTTACCACAAAAGCAAAGCATGGCTGCAGCTCATTCATGAAGAGAACTGGTGACTGAGTTTACATTTTCCACATATTATTCCTCTTTAGTGAAGTATACCAGCAGAAGCTGGAGCTCCAGTTTAAAACTGTTATCTGTCTGTTTTTTCTCACAGAGCAAAGACAGCAGGCTGAAAAAATGAGTAAGTGAATTTTTTTTAACGATAAATCACAAAAAAGATTTATGGGACAAAGTCAATTTGTTGTATTCGTGTTGATTTGGATTTTATTCTCCCTGTTCAAAGCATATAATTATATACCTGCGCAGTCGTATCCACGGCATTACCAGCCAGCACCCGCATATTTTGGTAAGTACATCATATACAGTTCAGATAGGATAGATTTTGCTCCAGCCATGACGTCTGACTTTGCTGATATTTACAGATCTGCATTAAGAGGCACAGTTAACTAGATAAAATGCCATGGCATCTTTCACAAACATAGGAGGACTTGGTGACTGCTCCACTTTAAATTTGGTGCCACTTTAAATTATTGCTAATTATTATTTCAAGTCCTGCTGCACTAACTGGTCCAAAGATGTGTGGAAATGCTCTTCATTGCTCTCAGATAATGACTAATTTTGGCTTCATCTAAATTTTAGCTTTGTTGGCATGTTTTCAACAGTATGCCAGAAAGATGCCATTTCTTTGAATATAAGGACATGTTTAGACTCTGGTTAAAATGGATAGATGCAGATGAAACATTAAGGAGAGCAATCTTTTTGGCTCTGAGTAAGGAAAGGCTCACTTGTAGTCCTTTCTTAATATGCTGCTTTTGAATTCTTTTTTATTCTAATGGGGACAGTTTACAAAATGAACCCCATGTTTATAAATTAGTCATGAAATAGATCACTGAAACCGTGTGCCATTTCCCAAAGATATTGATAAATATAATTTTTTTTGAAACCCTGACAAGCCTCCCACTGCTGGCCATAAGAATGACAGCAGATTTAAGACATCTCCATATTTGCTTCTCTTTTTGGATCCAGAAACTATCTCCATATTTAATATAGAGCCTGTGATGGACAGATTTTCTTTGAAAACAGTATCAGTGTTTCAAAACACTGACAACAACACTTAAGATTATGTAGCTGGAACTAAAATGAAGTATATGGACGTGGTTCCACCCATGAGTGTGGACTTCTCATGGGTGGAACGTCATGACCGTCATGTTGCTTGTGTGTTTTTCTGCAATATGTATTTATTCCTGTCACACTATTCTGGGGCCCCTGCAGTGGATGGAGATCCTCACTTCATGATAGAGCTACCAGACCGAGGTGATGCTTTGTGTTTCAACATCAACAACAAACCAGGAACCATTTTCAACCTGGTCAGAGACTCAAATTCAGGTCAGCCCCGTGTACACAGCTGTCTTAAGACTTAGGAAATGCAGTCTTAGTGTCGTCGTTGTTTTTCTTCATGTATAATTTTATAGATCAAAAACTTGTACTGATATTTTTTCCTTAGTTCATACATGAGTTATGCAATATGTGCCAGAAAGTCCAGATATCATGTGACTGACTGGATCCCACTGTCTCCAGGTATTTTGGTGAATGGTGAGATTATTGGAGACAAGAAAACTCCCCCTGATGGGAAAATAAACACCTATTTTTGGCGTTTTGGCATTGTCCACCAGACCCTTGGGGTCAGGCTAGAGGTGAGCACTGAGGACATCTCGCTGTTCCAGGATGGCAAATGGGTCAAACTGCTTTGGTCTGACGCAGCCTCCATTAAAGGATCCAAGTGAGTGATTACATTGTTAAAGTCACAGCAAAAAAAAAAAAAGGTCTACATAGTTTCTCCATCATCCAGGGAGTCTTATGAGTATGCCACATGACAGGTGAGGCAAGGTCTCACAGTGGTTTCTCTCAAAAGGTCTGGTGGTAATGATCCACTGCTTTTTTTTCACACTTTGGCTCATGTGATTTTCTGCATGATTAATCATGAGCCAATGATCACCTCCTAAGGCACAACCCTCACTGTGGTTTAAATACCTGGGACTCTCTACCTTTTGGTTTTTGAATCAAAGACATTTCTTAGATGTGAGATGAAACATTTCCATGAAACTGAAAGAAGTCAGGCTGCCTTCTTTTCAAGCTCTTATGACTGATTTTTATTCTTTCTCCTACAGTGTGGATCTTCTTGTGACCAAGGATCGCAGCCTAACTGTAACACTAAGAGATTCAGTTAAGTTTGTGATTTTGCTTCACAAAGTGTGGAAGAAGCACCCATACCACCGGGACTACTTGGGTTTCTACACCCTGGACAGTCACCTCCTGTCCCCTGGTGTTCATGGCCTGCTAGGTACAACATGACACATTTCTTCTCTAAATTTGTGGTTTATCACTGATGATTTCGAAGATGTTTCCATGTTCTATGTTAATGCAATTATTAATAAATAATATTTAACAACAATATAGGACCACTAATCTCTTGTATCAGTAAAACAAATACAGCAAAACTCAAATTATTTAGGTATAATTTACAATTACCAGTGTTGGAAAGGGTCCAAATTCAAATATTTTTATAATTTAAATGGTTTACCATCCTCCAGGTCAGTTCTATCATGGGATTAACTATGAGGTGGCACACTTGCATCCAGGAAAAGTCCCAGAGAAACCAGATGCCACCATGTATGTGAAAGGACAGGAGCTCAATGTAACCAGGTACACTAAAGACTTCAGTCTGGAAGTGTTTGCATGCAAAATGAATTTTAAATGTGTTGTTGCTGTGTTTGTGCTCTCGCAGTGTGAATCTTCTAAATGAAACATCTCTCTCTGTCAACAGAGGCTGGCAGAGGGATTTCAGGAACGATGTGAAGAACGGGGAAAATGTTCCGTGCTGGTTCATTCACAATAATGGGACTGGCCTCATTGACGGACATGTGACAGACTACATTGTTTCCGGCCTTTTTAAATCTGTTTAAGAAGAGGCCACACGGCTGTACCAGCTGCTGAAATCATCAAAATGCAATTCTTTTAAATAAATATTCAAATTCGCAGGCACTTACAGCACCAATAACCAGCAACCAACACAAGACAGCTTTCATTCATAGTGCTGCATACATAATAATCTCAACAGTGTCAAGTACTTGGAGACTGTCTCAGTGTTTCCTTGCAGTAAAATATGTGCAAAACAGTCATTAAAGATGTGCTCAAGATTGGTCAATATGTGTCCCTTTTTCATGGTTTCAAACACTGTTCGTGTTTCCTCCTATTTACTGGAAAATGTATTTAACTTAGACACTTTCAAAACAGGGCTGGACAATTAATTTTCCCAACGGGGTACATGAAAAACTGGGACTGTTGTTGAGGGCCGCACCAATAAGATGAAATCAGTTCTCTTTATAACTGTAATCTCAGCTACTGGTAAGAGTGGGAGCTATAACTGGGCAATGAAAATGTGAAGCAGGCATCGTAAACATGCCAACATTTTATTACTATCTAATCAATATTTCCCAAAACAATGCTGATGCTTGATGTTAAAAACGAAAATGTAAAAATCTAGTGTGTTTTGGGCTTGAACGAGCACATCGAAACAAACCAAAACAAGAGCACCAAGAGGGCCAAAAAACAAAACGAGTCCAAAACAACAACAACAAAAAACCCAACAACAACAACAACAACAACAGAAACACACCGGAACCCAAGAAAACAGAGTCCAAAACAGAACGGTTCAGGGCGCCAGCCCGGGGGCCAACCGTGCGGACGGCGACAGCGGGGCAGGTCCGGAGGCCGGCCGCAACAAAGACGATGTCTAGCCAACGGCCTGGAAGGTGGCCGGACAGGTCGAGGACGTGCAGGCCGGACAGGGCGAGGCAGGACCAGGCAAAGCTAAAGCTGTAGCTGTAGCTGTGGGAGGCGACGGCGTGGGAGCTGCAAGTGGTGGCGCTGCAGCGGAGGCAGGTTGCTGGACGGGCCCCTCGGACCCTCCAGCGGAGGCAGGTAGCTGGACGGGCCCCTCGGACCCTCCAGCGGAGGCAGAAGGCTGGATGGGCCCCTCGGACCCTCCAGCAGAGACGAACAAAGGCTGGTGCAGCTCTCCAGAACCCCCAGCAGGAACAGAAGGCTGGACAGGCCCCTCGGACCCTCAAGCAGAGGCAAACAAAGGCTGGTGCGGTTCTCCAGAACCCCCAGCGGGAACAACAGATGAAGGCCGGACGGGCCCCTCGGACCCTCCAGCAGGACCAGGTTGCAGAACAGATGACTGGGAAGAGGAGTGGCGGTGGCGCCGTTTCCTTCGGGACAAGGAAACAGGAACCGGTGAAGAAATGGAGACCTCCTCCTGATCTTCCGACCACATAGCTGCCAGGAAAGAGGCTGGTGAATGGACAGGTGAACAAGGTCCCGGAAGGAGAGGAAGTCCGTGGCAGCATAGAGGCAGGTGGAGAGTGTGTGTCTTGCTGAAGATTTAGTGAGTGAGAGAGCAAGCTCACCAACCCTGACTTGCTCTCTCCAGGCAGTAATGGTGCCATCCAACTTAGTGTCCTTAGCAAACTGAGAAAGCTGAGGGTTATGCCGAATGATGGCATCTACTGCGCTTAGCCCGACTGCCATAGTCCGTAAATCCTGTGACTGGGCAATGCGGTCGAGCAGACTCACCATCCGCATTATCTCGGCGTTGAACTCCGAGGAAAAAGAGTCTGCGGGGTCCATGTTCTGGTCACGATCTTCTGTTATGTGAAGGCTGTGTGCAGGCAGAAGTGGTAGTAGGAGGACCCAATGTGCAGACACTCAGAGGTGGAACATGAACTCAAAAGTAGTGATGTGACATTCTGTATCGAGGCTTCAAAGCTTGTGTCGAGTAATTGAGGGGGCGTTTCTGCGATGAGCGTATCGAGGCTTGCTTCATTTATGGGAGGAGCTGAAAATGATGACGTCCGAAGCCTCGCTGCCCGGCTTTACCACGTGACTGGTTCATGAAGTGGTTCAAACTTTGCCGCAAGCTATGACAGCGATATAAACCCCTCAGACTTCATTCAAAATGTGGGTGTTTGATGGAGAGTTGCGGTTAGTGAGAGTTTGGAGACCGTTTGGAGGTTTATGAGAGTGAGGAGAGAAAGTCAGGAGAGAATGGAGCCAGCTAAGAAGAGGAGGATGTCCTCCCCTGTGTGGGAACATTTTGATCTTATTCCTCCCAACAAGGTATGTAAATTTCTACAGAAGATGTATTTTCATAATACTGATGGTGCAATACAATTTATGTTAAGCTGCTTTACTTTTGTACAAGGTGAAGTGTTTGCTATGTGCCAGGGAGCTGGGATATAACAACAACACCTCATCCATGCTTAGGCACTACAGAGCTTTGCATGAGAATAAGGGGAACACCGATTGTGGAGCAAGACCAGGTGAGCCATCAAATGCCATGATAATATAGCATGCAGTAATGTTACTAAATGATATAACAATATTATACAACTGTAATAAGTTACGTGTGTGATATTTATATTTGTGCTTTGTCTTTATTGTCTTTCCTCAGGAGAACAATCTCAAATAGATGAAGACCTGGTCAGCATGGTGATTGAGGACTCCCAGCCATTTAGCATTGTGGAGGACAAAGGATTCAAAAGATTTGTTAAATCATTAAATCCTAGCTATGTTCTCCCCACTAAAAAGGTCATAAAAGCAGTGAAAATTTAGTTTTTACAGAATAAAATGTGGGCAGGACTGAGGCTCAAAGCCTCAGTGTGTAGCTGTCAATACCTCAACGTTACAAAAGCACAACCACTGTCGACACCCCAACCACACCTCACCTCACAGTAAATGATCATTTCCATTTTAAGCATTTCCAAATGATCATTTTCCATACTGCCAGTATAAATATACAAAGTATACTGCCATCACTACAATATAGATGTTTTACACACTCCTTTTGTTGTTGACATTTACAGGCTGTGTGCAAAAGGCGCCAGTCTTCAAATTCATGCCAACTAATATTTTTACATCCAGTAGATGTCCTACTAGAGCAAATGAAACTTCAAGAAGCTTTGCGCTGGGGTAAACCAATTGGATGAAAAGCTTCAGTGCTTCATGAAGCTTCCTCTGCCCATCACTACTCAAAAGTGTAACAAAACTAGGAATACAAAATACACTTACACAGCCAGAACACACAGCTAGATAAGGGTAGATTGCGACACGGAGACAGAGAAACACAGGGCTTAAATACACAGAGGGAGCAATCAGGGAATGGGTAACAGGAGGGAAACATAGCTGGGGCAAATCAGGACTAACGAGACAAAGGAAGCAAAATCAGATGCATTTACATGAGACACGGACTTAGAAAGTAAAACAGGAAACATAACACAGAGACGAGAACTTGACAAGGGGATACAGCTGACAGGAGAGACAGAGCAACTAGAGAATACAGAGACATAAACCATAAGACAGAACTCAAAGAAACCAAAGACTAGAAATGATAAATAATATAATAAACTCAAAACCCTGGGTCAACGACCCAGGCATCCTAACAACTGTGGATGTTTGTTCACACACACTCCCTCCACAATGTTTGGAACCTTTGTCAGTGAATACAAAGGTTTAGCTTGGTGTTTGTAGAGTTGACTTTTTACTCTCATAATCTTCATTTGACAAGTGGTAAAACTGTAGTTGAAAAGAAATACAAAATAGAAAAACTAATCTGATTTACATAAATCCTGCATTATGAAATAACTCAAAATATGATTTTGCATCTTTGTATTAACTTGAGCAGCAGTAATGATCATCAAAGCAAATGCTTTTTAATACGTACAAATCGACCTTTATGAGCTACAAATAAAATGTATTTTTTTTTAACAACTACTGTTATTTATGCTTTTTTAACATCTTTATCATGCAATATATACAGTTATGCCTGAACAATGTTTCAAAGATGGCTGTGGGCAGGGGCGATTCTAGGATTAGAGCTTTGGGGGTGCTGAGCACCCAGAGAGCTGCCCAACTATGGACTGGTTCTTATATAGCGCTTTTCTACTCTTCTGAGCACTCAAAGCACTTTACACAACTTGTGTATTCACCCATTCACATTGTTCTAGGTGCTTTCTAAGTAACATTCACACATTGCATCGGAGAGTAATTTGGGGTTAATATTTTGCCCAAGGATATTTGGCATGCAGACTGGGGGAAGCCAGGAATCGAACCACCAACCTTCCGATCTGTAGATGACCTGCTCTCCCACCTGAGCTACAGCCACCCTACAGCCAACCAGGCAAGATAAACTTTACACGTCACGATGAGACTTCTTCCCTGTCAATCCCTGCATCCTTAAATGTCTCCAGTTGTCCCAAGTTCTCTATGACTGTCTCCTTGGTGCATTTAAACAGGGAGGAACAGTCCTCCCTGTCCTCGTCGTCTGTTGTCTTCTTCTCCGTTATCAGTCAACATAATTTTACCATCTCTGTGCAAGTCTGCAAATTTCTTTGTTAAATCATAAGATAAATTCATCAAGTCTCTCTGTGCCTGGGTCCTCGTCACAAAACATGACATCACTGTTTTGTACATTTTAACAATTTAATCCCACATTTGTGAAAGAAAAACAAAACACCTTTTTGAAAAGTCTGTAACAAAACCATCAAATCTGATAAAGGTTATTTAAATGCTGCAAAAGAAGAATGGATTGGAATAAAAAAAATACATATCGAGGGCCGGTGTCCTGCAGGTTTTAGATGTAACCTTGATACAAGACAACACACCATAAAGGCTAAATGACCTCCTCAACATGTCTTGAAGTTA